CACCCACACCCTTCCTAATCAGAAGATTTAGCAAGATTTCTTCATCCATGTAATCAGATTAAAATTAAATCGTTATGTGATCAATGAGAGTTTGTATTTCTTTTCTCTCCCTTTAACTGAGCATTCGAAAATCACAGCTGGTTTGTTTATTTCTCACTTAAGAAGATCTAAACCTGTGATGAGTTTTTCCGTTTTACTTCCTAATGCAAATTCTATATTTGAATCTGAATATTATTCGGGTTTTAAATATTGTTTCTATACAATCGATTTCAAACGGACACCATATTTTGCCATAGAAATAATCTGAACTTTCAAATATCTGACGAAAAAGAGAGTTCAGCCCCTAATGTCAGCTCGATTCTTTTGAGAAAAGAATAAACAGTCTTAAACCATCATTCGTTTGACAAATGCTCTAGTGTGATCTACTGTTTAAGTACACCGATATGGTTAGATCATGAATTGATGCTAATGGATCAACCCGAGATTACACAAGAGAGAGATCAAAGTCATCGAGACATTGAATTTTAATAGCATCTATGCAGATATGACTTTCTTTGGAGATCATAATGAATACATTGTGTTTTTACATTTTAATTCAACAGGAATTGCGATACAATCTTCTCTTTTTTTTAGTCGGAATTTCTTTTTACTGGAGTACCCAATATGAATTCGACATCTATTAACTGTATTTGTGCTACTGATCCATCTTGCCAAAGTCAGAACGTATTGTCCAAAGAGCATCGATTGCCTAACGGTTCCAGTACATACATAGTAACTTACATGGTACCAGGCTCTATTTCAGGCTGTTTTCTTATGGATTCTCTTCTTCACTCTACATTTGAATGTTTCTATTCTGATTCAATATGTTTTCCGACTCTACTCGACTTTATTAAGGAGAAATATCTCCGAACTGTTCAATTCACACCATGGTTTAGTCCCAGACCCCTGCTGAATGATTCACTGTCAAGCCGTTTTGCTCCAAACACTTCAATTTCCACAATAGTTAAACAATTGATGATTGAACAATGGAACCCCTCATATTCATATGATCTGTATTATCAATTATGTGCACCGAGTTATTGTACTTATTCTCATACAGAAAAAAGAGGCACATTCTTTGGCACCCTGACAATATTGCTTTCCTTGATCGGTGGTCTTTCCAGTGCACTAAAAATCATTGCATCTCAACTGGTCGATATTTTCTTTCTATTAGCAAAATTGGGCTTTAGATCACAACATCAAGAAGGTACTTTGTTTGTTTTATTTCAAAAAGAAATTAATTGATACTTTACACTAAATATTAGATTCCATTTTATCTGCTCTACAAAAAAAGGAAAAAAATGGACAGTCTCAGATTATGTAAGAACTTTGTCTATGCAAAGAGAGAATCGTTATAAGATGTAAAATCGAGCTTCTCAAGAAACTAGCTGTGTGTACAACCAGATCATTATAGATAACCCATATCTGCCATTAATAATTGATAGAATTTAATAGAAACCAGTTGTCGTTTTAATGTAGCACTTGATTCAATAAGCGATGCCAGTGAAAATATGAAACGGCTTCGTAATTATATTAAAAACTCAAAGATTACTTTTTTATTTTTTGTAATTCATATAAGTAGTTAAAGCATTCAAGAGATTGATTCATTTCTATCAGACATCAATATCAAAAATTGACAGACATCGTGCGTATGATTTCAGGGTCATAATAGGATTGATCGTAGTGAAGATCTATTGTTCACCACTATATGGCTCTTTTATGCATTTACCTTCTTTCATCACTTGGGTCTAGCTAACGTATTTATTTTCGATTCGACACTGCATTCAACTTGTTCTCAAAAACTACAATGACCTCGTAAAGACTCCACTTCCCAAATAATATTTCCAGGATATCATGGCATGAATATGTGCTGTTGCTTTAAATGTCTTTTTCATTGGAGATCTTCTGATTCTTGATATCGGCTTGTCCACAGGTAACGCACTCACCCTTTTTTGGCCTTCGGGTTCCTATAACTCAACAGTAGTATGTAGTAAAGACCTGAAACTTGTAGTTTCACAAGATAATTAGAAGATCTATCTCTACTAAAAATTTAGCTTCATTTGACTGTACTACCGCGGTTGTAAAGATTCAGGAAAGCGTGGTAACGCACTCATTTAAAAGGCCCCTTGTCATTAGGCCCATGCAAAGAAATTTATATTTCTACGAATTTATGCACATCAAAGAAAATATTTTTATATGGATTTGGAGGTAAGTTGTTAGGCTTGATAACCATGGTATGTACTTTTTGAAAGCTTATTTCTATAAAGAGTTATTAGCAAAGTATTCCAGTAACGCACTCAGCATGGTTTGTTTTAAAACCTTTTGAGTGCCAAGGCGTATGCACGAAACCTTTACTTAAACAATTCATGAACGTCTAGAATGAATGTTATAGTGAAAATAATTTAGTTATTTCAAAAAAACGACACACGTTTGTCATTATAATAGTATGATAAAATCATTTAAAAATCATCATCATCATCATCATAATGTCCCATAGGCTTAGCGCCCGTTGGAGCCAACCATTTTTACGGGATCAGATTTTTCCACGCCTGCCGGTCTTGTGCAAGGTGGAACAGCTCTTGTCTACTGCGTTGACACCACTCTGTTATGTCATCCAGCCATTCTCTGCATGGACGCCCCCGGCGAGATTTTCCTTCCATTTTTGAAAATATTATGTGTTTGATTAATCTCGTATCATCCGTTCTGCAGATGTGGTCAAATAACCGTAGTTTTCTCTTCTTGATGGTGTCTATTATCGTGTCCTCTTTTGATATCTTTTTCCTGATATTTTTGTTTCGCATTTTATCTTGCCAATTTATTCTTAGAATTCGTCGGTAAAATTTCATTTTAAATGCCAATAGTTTTTGCCTGTCTGCTTCTTTTAAGGTCCATGTCTCTGACGCGTATAATAGGACGCTGAAGACGCATGTTGTTAGGATTTTCAGTTTGTTTTCTGTCTTCAGTTTTTTACTTTTCCAAATATGTTTCAATGAAGCTAATGCACCTGTCGCTTTTCCTATTCTCCTTTTGATTTCCTCTGAACAGTTATTATCCCACGTGAGTAAGCTACCAAGGTATTCAAATTTCTCTACGTTTTCTACGGTACTGCCTGGTACTTGGGTGCTACTTTCAATATTCCTGTCTCCAAATACCATAGTTTTAGTTTTATTTAT